GGGCGGCGGGGTGGGGGTGAACGGGCGCTTCGGAGGAGCTGCGCTGACAGGAAAAGCCACCCTGCCGGCTTCTTTGAAGCGGTTTCTTCCTGGGCTAGTGGAGGAGCGAGAGAGCGACTGAGAGAGGAACGAGACAGACACCTGAGGGATGAGGCTGAGGGAGGCAGGGCCGAGAGGCGGGGCTTCTCAGCCATCCTGCAGGGACTTGTCCTGAGCCGCGGAGACAGCCGTGGGCCGCCGCCGCCCAGCGCTCAGTTTTGAAGGCGCTCCTCAGCCCAGCGCAGTTGCTGAATCTGCAGCTGAAACCCTCCGTTTTAAATGTCCCAATAGAAGAGAATATCTGTTGCTCAGGGTTGCAATGAGGAGGCATTGGCGCTCCCTGAACTTGGTGGTTTGCTGGCAGACGTTTTATTACCCGACTAGGTAACAACATCAGATGTTACCTAGTCAGGTAATGAAATGTCTGCAAGCAAACCACCAAACTTGGAGTCCTCTCCCCCCCCCCCCCCCGGTCCTTGAAAAAGTGTTTCTGCGTGAAACTGGTCCCTGGTACAAAAAGGGTTGGGGACCACTGTGCTAGGCCTTTGAAAGCTTTGAACTGATGCCTCAAGCATAGAGATGTTTTGTCTTTGTACTTATATAATACTAAGAAAGCTAAAGAAAAAGACCAGGTTGGGGAAAAGGGGAAGAGTCATCTCCTTTTGCACTGAAACCCAAATTTTGTTTACACTGGTCTATTAATAAAGTGCTCTCTACTTTAATATTTGCACAAAAGAGTGCACACAAAACCTTTATGAGGTAATAGCCCAAGGAATCAATATCCATATCCTAGTTGCAATTTTTAATCTTTAGGACTTTTTTTACATATTCATCCCAAAAAAGGTTAGAAACTTCACTGGGATCTTCATTAATAAAATCAATCTAATTAGTTCAGATGTGACACTGAACATTGATCATGTAGTATGCTCTGTATGTTTGTTCTGAATTTAAGTCTGCTCAGGTGCACTTATTTCCAAATCGGGATATTTATAGCTTCCCTGTATGTTTGTAACCTTAATCTGTTTAGAAGGGAGAATGTGCCCATGTAGGACTTTAGGAAACAAGACCCCCTTGCATAATATCTATCCCTGCTCAACTGGCTGTTTCTCCATCATTCTCTGCAGGATTCTATCTCATCTCCCCATCAGAATTTGAAAGATTTTCCCTTTCGCCAAAGTGGCTGGTGGAACCTCGAAGTCTTGTGAAAGCATTGGAAAACAGAGAAAACTGCCACGGGCACAGCACATCTGGCACAGAAAAGACTTCAAAGAAATCAAAGTATGTCTGTCAGAGTTTCTGTCAGTCAAGTACACTATTTTGTAACAATTACAAAGTATAACTTATTTGACAGTATGGTTGATATTTTAATATTTTTGTTTTGTTGTTGAAGACCCAAATCCCTAAGGAGCCTAGCCGATATTGAACAATACCATGATAATATTGCCTATGCATTCACGTTACTATAATTTTTGGAATATATAATTCACAGAACTATGGGAAGACCTACGACCAAAAGAGATCCATGTCTGATATGGTACAGATTTGAATAGATGTTGTTCTTTGCAGACGCATAATGTGTCAATGCATCTGCTTGTCCCCTGATATCCAATCAACTGATTCATAAGAGTTTAGCCAGTGCAAGTAGTCCTTGAGTTATGATAGCAATTGAGACTGGAATTTCCATTGCTAAGCAATGTGGTCATAAAGTGAGGCACCATATGATCATATCACTTAGCGATATCAATCCCTGCAGTCCCTATTGCGACAAGCGAGGATTGTGGGTCATTAAGTGAGCATCTCCTCACAAGGAGTGTGGGTTGCTGGCAAGACATGCTACAACCCCAGAGCGGTTTCAGGAGAGTACGTGGGGGGGGGGGGGGGGGGGGGATTTACCCAAGCAAATTGAGTCCTTCCCTGCCAGAGAAAACTTTGCTTGCGGGAAGCTGGTAGGGAAGGTTGCAAATCATGATCACATGACTCCAGGATGCTGGAACCAGGGGTGGGATTCTACCAGTTCGCACCTATTCACTAGAACCGGATGTTAACATTCTAAGCAGTTCGGAGAACCGGTTGCTAGAAGAAATTCCTGACCTAATCGTGTAAGGAAGGCAGGAAGGAAACATTCTGGTGTTGCTTACAGAAACTACCTCTCCGTTAACCCTTATTACATTCTTGGCAGGACTAGACTTCCTGTCTCAGGAACGTCTCTGGAGTTTTTCCCCCTCCTTTGCTGGTATTTTGCTTGTGTGGAGTGACCATTCAAAGTTATAATGGCACTGCAAAAAGTGACTTATGACCATTTTTCACACTTACGACTGTTGCAGCATCCCCACAGTCATGAGAGGCCAGGCGAGGAGATGCGTGCCTCGATGTGAGTAATATTGAGTTGTCCACGCCCAGCCAATAACATGACCACCAAGCCACGTCCACCCAGTCACATGATCACCAAATCATGCCCACCAACCAAGCCATGCCCACAGAACCGGTTGTTAAAAATTTGAATCCCACCCCTGGCCGGAACCCCCATAAGTGTGAACCAGTTGCAAAGCAACTGGTTACAAACCTAACCCTTAGGCTGCTCAGTTGTGTATTTCTGGGCAAATGAAGCCTGAGATTCCTAACTCTTGAAAAGTGAATAGAATATAGATTCATCTGTAAAACCAATCTATTCACCTCTAGCAGAATGTTGTAGGTGTTCTTTTTGTATATGTTACAAGTTGTGACTTGAATAAAACATGGCTTGCTGTAATGTTAGGACTGAAGAATACTGCTTGATATATCAAGTTCTGAGGCGGAACTATTGAACAATTGGTCTCATTGGCTCTTTTCTTCTTTTGCAGCAGCATTATGGAATCAAGACAAACCTCTGGTGAACCAGGTGGTGATGGTAAGTAAACTATGGTGCTTAAAACTCAGTTGCTTTTGTGCCTGTCATAGAAAACGATGGGATCTTGGAACAATTGGCTGCCTTGCTTTGTAACCCATAGTCGTAAGAATAGGTAGTGTGGTAATCCATACACAACTGGGTACTACACTTGTAGAAAAATTAGCCAAAACATTTATAAAACATTTTGGAAAACTTCATGAAAATTCCCTCAGCTTCCTTTTTAGGTATCATCTCTTGGCCTGGAAAAAAATGGAGCAGTAATGTTTCACTCCATTTCATGCCTATGACTAATTCATCAGTAGGTTGGTAGCAGGCAACTTTACAATTCCCACTTCACGTTTAAGCAGTTGGTTTACCTTATTTTTATTATAGCTAAATGGTCTTTTGTTTAACTCTTGTTGAACCATTAAAGCAGGAGTCCCCAAACATAGCTATGCTGGCTGGAGAATTCTGGGAGTTGAAGTCCACAAGTCTTAAAGTTGCCAAGTTTGGAGATCTCTGCATTAAAGCATAACAAGTACTGTAGTAATACTAATAAAAGTTAATTAATAGGTGCTATGTCCATGTCTGCATGGTCTGAATCACCTTTCCTCTTCAAATCTGGATCATTGCAGTCATTTACAGTGGCTTTGAATTTCAAAATTGGGTTTTGGTATGCAGAAGTAAGTCATGGCCTTCATTGTTCAGAGGATTTAAGGAGCTGTCATCCATTTTAATAACTTTTAAACATTTATTTTCTCTTTCTGTGTTGATGATACATTCACTCTCAAAGTCCTATTTTTGTCTCTAGACTGAGAATTAGTTGCTTTAATATTAATTCTTTTTCAGAAAGAATGACTGATAGGCTGATGGAACACGCTCTCCTCAATGATGAAAGTAAGAAAAAAGGTTGTGAAATGAACTTTTTGTGGAAATTATCCTGAATATTTTTACTAATGTAGTTTCAACTACTTCTTTTTCCACCCAAAGGCATACAACTTGAATAGATTTCTTTTTGAGTTGTATGTTTTGTATGTTTAATAGATCAGACTTAATAATATATCTGAGAAAACTAATAGGCATTATTTAGCATAGCTGGCCATATCTGTGTGCATCACATAGTTTCCGACTGTCCTTCATAATTCAATTACTGATATGTTTAAAAAATCAAACCACATTTACTTTGTCTCTGTTCGGGGCACAATGGTCAGTTACCACATCTGTGAAATGGATAATGTTAACCTGCCCTACAAAACAATTTCAGAGAGGTTTCAGTGTACAAAGTGTTCTGCAGCTCCAAAATGTTACATTCACTTGTTTCTAGATTTCTTCCAGGCTATGATATAGGCAGCTATATTTCTTATGACTTATTTTGCCCCTCCTTTCAGGTGTTCTGAAGGAAATCCAGAGTACTCTGGAAGATGGGAGAGGGTGAGTATGATACACCGATATTTGTGATGCTCATTAAAGAATTAATTTGGTAGGTCACTAGTTCAGATATAGTAATGGAAAGGGAAGATCAATAATGTTTTTTTTGTATTTTTGGAGATAAAATATTCTGAAGGAAGAGGGCCGTTACCATTTGGATTCTAATTACACAGCTTTCAACCAATTTGGATGAGATGCATGTATTTTTCATTTTATGAAGAGCTTTTAAGTGGTAAAAAGACATTGAGATGTATAAACTAGGTCAGGGGTGTCAAACTGGCGGTGAAATTGCATATCTGCATGATATATACATATTAGGTGTGTGTCCAATGAGAACAACATGGAAAGTTGATTGGTGTTAATTGTATGAATTTGGTTTTAAATTTTCCAATTAATTCAGTTTGTAACATTGGAGAGTTTATTTTTCTTAGAAAGACAGCTCTTTTTGTCGCAAAGGTGCCTTTCCAAAAAGCAACTTTCTTGATTTTTCTCTTTGAAAACTTTTGCTTCTTTAATCAATCATGACCTTGGGGGGTGACTGAGTGTCTCGATAGATACAGCTGCTTTTTCTCACTCAAAAGAGCCATGAAGTATTGTTGCAATGTATTACTTGCATGTATGTTTGCTTGGAAAGAAACTACCACTATATATTGTATATGAAAATGATACTTCATAAGCTGGCTGTCTCATAATCTCCTTTTTTTTTCTTTGCTTTTTGGCAGGAGTTACTACAATAGAAGTTCAGGAAGAATCCAAGTAGGACATACGTTAAGTAATGGAGGAGGTAAGTTGACTTTATATTTTTACTTGTAGTTGATATTGAAACATAATAAACTATGGCTTGTTACAAAAATATATTGCTTCCTACTCTTCGATTCGGGCTGCTGAACAGTCTTATAAAAATGTTCCCCTTGAATAGGAAACAACTACTTTCTCTGACCCTGAGAATGTTAGCAAACTAGAATTGCATCTAGTTTGAATTTTTCCCAATAACTTTTATTATGGTTATAGTGGTTTATTTTGAACAGATAAAAATAACAAACCTAGTACAAAAATATATAAAAAAAGAAAGTGTGAAAAGGGGAAAAATCCCCCCAAAAGATAGTAAGAAAAAGAAACTTTCCTCTTTTTCCAAAGCAAGCATATTCAACATTAACAATTTATGAGTGTCTGTTAAATTACAGCCAGATACATCTTCATTCTATACTTCATCCCATTGTCTATAAACTCATCTCTAAATTGCAGGATCCAATCTCGGTCATCTCTAAATCTTTAGCTCTCCTTATAGATCAATAAAATCAGTAAAAATTAACAAAAATAACTAACAATGTAAGTATAAAACCCCTTTTTCCATTTAATTTATACCCTCTTAACAAATATTAAAAAAGAATAATACAATTGAAAGCTATTAAACATTACCAGAAATAACCCATTACTTACATATCCAAAAATGATAATATAAATATTACAAATGAATCCATTGCAGCACTGAACATTTCCAAACCAGATAACTATGAAATATCACCAAAGATAGCAAATCATTATTTATCTACAAATAAACCAATTTTGTAGGGGTTTTTTCCCCTTTTTTCTTCCAGCCATCCTTAAGTCCCATAGATAAAATTCTAACTCCAGTTTTCTTATAGTCTTTTTTCTTCATCTGTTGAAGTTCTTATCTTTATCCAAGTCAATTTGTAATTTCTATGAAGTTAATTCCAATAAATCTCTGACATTTCAATTTAAAAGACTAGTCCATATTGTTCTTAGGGTACATTGTTTGTAATGTCCTTTTTAATTTTTAAATGATCATCCAATTCAATTTACGACATCCAGTGTCGTAAATCCAACACTTTCATCTCATTTTTGTAATTTGTAAGTTTTAATAAGTCCACCTTGAAGTCCAGTTTGTTGTCTTCAAAGAAGTTTGTTCATTTTCAGTAGCAACGTTTAGTTCCAGTTAAGAGTTAAAAAGCTCAAGGACTTCTTCATATGCCCACACATCAAGTGTTTCCTATCATGTGCTTTAGTAACAGACCTTCAAAGTCTTGTTTTGCACGGAAAAATGTAAACAAAACAGATTTCCTACAGGAAAGGTTCTTTCTAATTAGTTTCAAAATCTTTCTTTAAACCAGTTTCATGAAGCATTAGCGTTTAAACTCTAAAAACAACTCTAAAGCCACTTCTTTGCTGTATATTGCAAAAAGTTATCAAAATAAATAAATATCTTACAAAGCTGAAAAGATGCAGTTCCCTTAAAAAAAAAATTCTGCCAGCAACTTGTTGGCTTGCAGTTCTGAAAGTTTTTCAATCTTAAAGAGGCAGTTCTGTTAGGTATAACATTGATACCAAATATGGTTTGGGTGAATAAATAT